CTAGTGGTCTCGATGCTATCGCTACGTCGTGTTACCTACCGCTTGTTTATCAAGCCTTCCAAATTGCCATGACAGCCTATAACCTTTTTCACCATCCTAGCAAACCGTTGTTTGGCTATGTTACCGCTCTGCTCAGCCCCTCTTATAGTTTTGCTAGTTGCAGGTGCAGTTGTAGGTTGTTCCATGTTGGGACATGGATATCATGGGATATCACAATATGTCTTATTTAATTAATGCATCTATATACTTGGTAAAGGGTGGAAGGCTTGGCCTTTTGCCTGGTGTTTTCTTCCACTCTTGCCGCCCTAGTTTCTGTCATACCGATGTTATGTTCCTTGATTTTGCGTCCCTAACACGATGAGGGTTTATGGGCTCCTCTTGACAGTTCACTTTGAATAAAACTCTTCCAGCAAGGCCCAACATTGGTTTTACCTTTTGCGTAATAACAACTAAAACTTGCATAGGGACCCGCCAGCACCCAAGGTCTCTTAATCAACCCCCCGGGCCAGTGCTCCTCATGAGTGTTGGTCCACCTACCTAGCAGTCGGCGGTGCCACCACGGGGCAACTCGATGGTATTTTGGCTACCGTCCACTTCGCATAGACAGTGTTGTCCTGAGAACGAGATACGCGCGGCTCCTATCGGGGTATCGACGCACCGGGTGGTCTTGCTGGACTTGTTTTACCATTATCGAAATGTCTTGTGCACTGGGATTCCGAGTTTGATCGGAGGGTCCCACGATGGAGGATTGTCTCCGCGGATCGTGAGCTTGTCATGGGCTAAGTTGGGACACCCCTGCAAGGTTTTAATTTTCGAGAGCCGTGCCCACGGTTATGTGATAGATGGGAATTTGTTAATATCCGGTTGTAGTGGACTTGAACTAAACTCAACTAAAATACACCAACCGCGTGCGTAACCGTGACTGTCTCTTTTCGAGTGAGTTCGAGAAGAGAACACAGTTGAGTTATGCTTGAACGTAAGTAGTTCAGGATCACTTCTTGATCATTACTAGTGCGACCGTTGGTGTAGTTTCTCATCTTACTATTGTACTCGTAATTTAGCCACCATACAATGCTTAGCCGCTTGCTGCAACCTCACCACTTATCCTTTTCATATCCTTTAAGCTTTGTTAGTCTCGATACCCATGGTAATGGGATTGCTGAGTCCTCGTGGCTCACAGATTACTACAACAACAGTTGCAAGTACAGGTAATGCGATGACATGACACGAGTGCGATGATTGATTGCTTTTGGAGTTCTTCTTGTTGTTCTTCTTCTTCTTCTATCAAGGGATAGGTTCCGGGTCGGGAGACCTAGGATTACCAGGGTGGATATTGTTCTTCTTTTTCGTTTGATTTCATCCGTAGTCGGATCCTGCTCTTCTGTATGATGATTGCTATGTATTGATGAACTGTTGTATTCATGTTGTACCATGTGGTGAGTGTAAGCCTGTATCTTGTATTCTCATCTATTCAGTACATGGTATATTGTAATGATATCCACCTTGCTATGCGCTCGAAATGTGATTGTGCCGCGATCAAGAGTTCATCATGTGATTGGAATAGAATCGCATCTTGGACGCTACACCCTCATAAGCTTGGCCTCCGCAATTTATCATACAATCTCTCTTTCATAAGATGTCGCCCGGTCGACCGGCTAATATTGTTGTGAAGGTGTACCTGGCTGAGAGAAGCAATCGGATATCCTTACTCTACAAGCATGCATGCGAGAGATATTGAAGCATAAAAGAGGTAACACTTGCAAGGTTCCCCACTTGAGGAAGCAAGTTCTAGCACAACCGAGTATAAACTCGATTAGATTACAGTGTGATCCAGATGCCCTTCTGGATGCTTGATACCGAGTCCCTTCCGGATGCTTGATGTACTTGTCGGATGTGGCGTACTTGCATGCTTTCATCAATAATATTAGTGAACTTTCCGTACCTCCCTAAATCCAAGTTCACAAAACTATAGTTGCAAATATTAAGAGAGCTTCCTTTATGTTTAGTTTAGTTTTGTAGGAAAGAAATTCAGTTCACAACACTAGTCTTCAGAAACTCGTCGGCCCCGTAGTCGACTCATTTGAATATGATGAACCAACAGATACAACATAGTTTGCATTGATAGGATGGTCTGACAAGTGACATATTAATTTACTTACTTATATCCATAAATATATAGCTTAATTTACTTCTCCAGAAACTAATGGTGTTGGTTTGCTGATTTCCAACAGTTCTGAATTCTCAAGATTGCAGGGTGCATTCTTTGAACTTCAACTTTTTGTTAGGATGTAATGCATATAATCAATCTCTTTGTGCAAATTACAGTGGTCTAGAATCCAGAGTGTAATTGTTTGAGTAGAAACTCTCTGCATATCATGTTAACACGTGCTATGCAAGTCACTATTCCACTTAAATATCTATGGTAAAACCAGTGTTGTAACATTGCTGGTACCTAAAGGATACTCCCACCGTTCCAAAATACTCCCTCCGTCCCAAAATTCTTGTTTTAGATTTATCTAGATACAGATGAATCTGTATCTAGACAAATCTAAGACAAGAATTTTGGGACGGAGGGAGTACTTGTCGTGATTTAGTTCAAATTTCAACTAAAACCACGACAACTATTTCGAAACGGCGGGAGTACTAACGTAGGAGCAGATGTTAACTGATCCAACGATATAGAACACCTTTGTACTCTTCTTTCTTCATCTGCTCTTTTGTAGAGATAGCACGCTGACTAGACTTTCCTGGGAATCATCACATATTTCCCCAAGGGTGTCACAGATCTCTAAGCGTAGAGCGTTTCATCCAAGAGATTTTGAATCAAGACTGCATATGTGGAGGTTAGAATCAGCAAAACAAGTGTGGATCCCAACAAAAACTGACTTTTCAGTCGAACAGAGCACTAGCAACAACAACCATGTAGGCCATATCAGGAAAAAATAAACACCAACCATGTAACAGGCTGTAACTTATTTTGCAGCTTCTGCAAATCCAATGATTGAGTTGTTTGTAGTGGCTCTAGCCTCCAGATGTCAAAATCTAGAATTTCCATTATTAGAACCATATGAGAGGGACACAAATTGTTGGGATATCCTCCTCATGTGGGCTGTGAGGAGATGACCATTTGAGGCCTTTTAGGCAGCCCAAAGAGATGCATGAGCCCACTACCCATTAGGGTTATGACCTAGGGTCATTTTGGACTTTGCACATGAGTGGATGGGGATGCTTTACCCTCCATCCAGCAGCCACCACCAAGAGTGAAAATCAGTTCATCCTCCAAGAGAGAAGAAGAGAGAAAACCAATAGAGCAAGGGAGGAAGAGGAAGATTGAAGGAAGAAGCAAGGGAGCTCCTCCCCAAGGTTGTGATGGTCCAGATCCACTACCTTGCCTCCTTCAAGCTTCGCTTCCACCATCTTTGGTGAGATTGTTCCAATCTCTAGTTCTTGAGCCCCAAATCTTGTTGTGTTCATCCAAGATTCAGAAATCTTGATGTATGAGATCCTCTAGTGTTGTCTAGAGAAGAACTTGTAGTATCCCACATTTGATAATAGTGGAAGAGGATTTGGGTGGCTTCAGCCCGTGGTTTTTCCCCTCAAGTTGAGGGGTTTTCCACGTAAAAATCTGGTGTCTCTTTGTTGATGCTTGATGCTGTCCAGAAACTTACTCCTACCACAAGACACTAGGCTGAGGAGTGTCTTGCCTGCCGAGTAACATTTTCTGCCTCCATATATGCTGCTGCATATGTCTCCTTCCGTGCTAAGCAACGATCCTTGAATTAGTACATGATGTGGTGCTGAGATTACTTGTTTCCGCTGCAGTTTTCAGTTAACCACAAGTGCATTTGTGTGCTAATTCCCAACACAAATATAGTACTCCCTCCTTTCCTAAATATAAGTCTTTTTAGACATTTCAAATGGACTATAACATACGGATGTATGTAGACATATTTTAGAGTATAGATTCATTCATTTTGTTCCGTATGTAGTCACTTGTTGGAATGTCTAAAAAGACTTATATTTAGGAATGGAGGGAGTATAAAACAAACCAGTAATAGTTGATGGTACTTACAACAGGTTAGATTGACAACGTCAGGTTTATCATCTTTCCTGAATCACCACATATTCTGGTTGATATTCAACATCTCTGAAGCATCTGATTACATATTCTGTGAAGAACAACCTGCTACTCCAAGTGGAGTGGATAAGGCCTGTCTGTTCTTAACTCAAATGATGGATAAGTATAATTTCGCCCCTAATGATTGTGTTCCCTGGCGCTTCCAAATCCAACAGGCGTTTACTTTGGAGAAGAGGTTCCAGTCTTCAGATGTCAAAATCTAGAATGTGTATCAGTGGCACCATATGAGATGGACAGCTGTTTATAAAATGAACCACTAAATAGTTGAGTGCACTTATCACCACCAGTAGGTTGACAACGTTCTTTCTTGAACCACCTATATATATTCAATTTGAGATCCAAATATCTCTGAAGCATCTCATTACAAATTCTGTGAAGAACAATCAGTTTGGCGCGTGGAGTGGATAAGGCCAGTCTATTGAGTATATTTCCCCTTCTAGGCTCCAGCGCAACACCAAATGGCAGCCATAGTTCAAAAGAAGAAGTGGCAGCCATTGTTTTGAAAGCAAAATGTCTTGGTTGAATATGGCACTGTCTGAATACTTCATGTATTGCTGCCACTGTTACTATCAGCTTAGCTTTCGGATTTCTTCCGTTCTCTGAATTATTGGAGCTTACCTGATAGACACAGTTGCCCATACAAAAATATGATCACATTGGACATATTTCGAATACATATATTTATACAGACACACCTTGTACAAAACCGTTTGCTTAATCCTATACAAAGTTACAAACCATATCCCGAACCAGCAGCAAGGTGCAGTCATGAGTCATGACATGCTGAAACTGATGTTCAACCTCAATATCCTGCCAGACCATGGTTGAAAGGTTCCACAACTTGCATCCATGATCCATGTCCCTAGCTAGGACTTTTATCCATGCCAAAAATCACTGACCCTGCATGATCAAATTAACAGTAGAAAAATGTAAGAGAGGGCAATAAGGCATCACTTGGTTACCGATGGATGGCATGGTGCTTGTGCAGGAGGCGCTGTTAATTACCTAGTGTTGGTAGCAAGACCGTCAGAGCTGCAACTCCGACGACCTTGAGGGGCAGCCCAGTGGCCACCAGATCCTTGATGGTGATGTGGCCGGTGCTGAAGCCGACGACATTCGACGGCGACCCGATGGGAAACAAGTACGACAGCTGGGCCCCGACCGCGCCGGAGATCATAAGCAGCGCCGGGTGCACCTCGATGGACTTGGCCAGTTCAGCGAACAGAGGCAGCACCAGCGTGGTGGTCGAGTCGTCGGACATGAACTCGGTGATGACCCCGCTGAAAACGCAGGCCACGGGCACGATCACCAGCGTCGGCGCGCCCTCGAGGAACCTGAGGCCGTCCGAGAGGATGCCGGTCAGGCCGCTGGTCCTGAAGCCGTCGGCGATGGCGAAGCCCGCGCCGAGGAGGAGCACGATGTTCCACTGGATCTTCCTGCACTTGTTCCAGTCCATGAGCTTCTCACCCCCGTTCTTCCCGCTCGGGATTATGAACAGCAACGTGGCCATCATGATCTGCGTCGCAAGCGATTTGTTTGCTCCTCCATGAGATCAGGTGATACATACTGTGTATAGTAGCTCAGCAACTTTATGATTATCTTGTGCTCTTACCGTGACTGTTCCATCCCCAACTTGATCGTGGAAGAGAACTCCCCACCCAGGAATGTCATCTGTCAGGTTCCTGGTCATCCATAGCACAATTAGACCCTGCAAAGGTTATCCATTTCGATGAGTTAATGACTTGTGACCAAGTAGCAGGTCCACATTGTGTGGCAGAAAGCACACTCTTCTTTGCTAGTTAAAACTTCTATTGGCATAGAATAGCTGATTGGTAGTAGAATTTACCCCAAACACAGCCAAGACCATCTTCTCCGCGAAAGCCATTGGACCTGTCATAGAAGAGGCTAACCCCATCAGACAACTAAGCATCGCCCTGGACAATGTATTTGTGTTTTGAGCTAAAACTACTGGAACTGAAACTTGGACAAACAACTAGAGAGAGGATATGCCTTTTATAAAGGGACAATGAAAGAAGATGAGGCGAGAGAATAAAAAATGGCTACTGAAGACAAGAAAGGAAAGGTACCTAACAAGCTGAGCTCCCTTCTGAGGTGGGTTCCGTCGAGGTAGGCAGAGAGCGCCTTTCCGGTGTTGTTGGAGCAGTACATGAAGCAGAGGGTGACCCAGAGCGCCAAGAACATGAGCAGCGCCATCGGGAGGCCGAAGCTCATCCACGAGCTGAAGGTGATGGGCTCCTTCTCCGGGAAGTAGGCCGACCACATCCCCACCAGGATGATGTTCACTCCGGTGCCCGTCAGCGTGGCCATCCCGCCCACCGCCGACGCGTACACCACGCCCAGCACCACCGCCTTGGAGAAGCGCCGCACCTCCTGCTTCTCCTCCCCCTCCCCCTGGCCGGCGCCTCCGCCCCGCGGGAACCGCTGCAGGATCCCCGTCGCCACAGGCATCATCATCACCGTGCACGCCGTGTTGTGGATCCACATGCTGACGAACGCCGTCGTGCCGGTGATCCCCAGCAGCAGCAGCGACGGCCGCACCGGGTCCCCGCAGAACCGCAGCGTGATCTGCGCAATGCGTGCTGATCAGTTCAGGCGTCAAGAATTCTACTCCTAGCTGAGTGCGTGTCGGAAAAGTTGGTTATTAACATTGAGAGCGAGGCGGCGGTGGATGTGGTAGCGCTCGATGGCGAGGGCGAGGATGAAGCTGCCGAGGACGAGGGCGATGACGTCGTCCATGTACGCCTTGGCGACGGCGTCGGCGGAGGAGATGCCCAAGGCCGGGAACAGGAAGAGCGGCGCCATGGACGCCACGGCGAGGGGCACGGCGTCCGTCGCCCACCACAGGAACACCCACGCCAGCACGCCCAGCATGTTCCGCGGCGCCGCGCCGTGCGCGCCGCCGAGGTCCACGAGCGCGCATATGGCCGCGCACGCCACGGGCCCCGACGCGATCGCAGGGTACTTGTGCGCGAGCAGAGCCCTCAGGCGCGACGACGCCGTGGTCGCGGCGTCGTCGTCGCGGTGCACCGGCAGCAGCAGGGGCGTCCCCGCGTCCTCCGACGAGCTCCCGCCGAAGCTGCGAGCTGGCTTCTCCATCGCCCTCGCCGTCGTTTTACTGAGGCGTGTGCGTGTCGTCTGCGGTGTGGCCTTATAGCAGGCAGGGCCAAGCTTGAAATGGCGTGACAAGTGGCCAGGATAAATCCCCCGTGGATGATTAGGCGACCGGATTAGTTCCGGGCATGGCGAGAACGGTGGGGTCGATCGTTCAGGTGGCCACGGCAGCGTGGAGAAGCTGGTGGCGCGACGGGCAGGAAATCGGGAGGTGATGATACTGTCGACCGCTGAATGGCACAAATATTTTTGGCAGTGAAGTGAGCACCCCATACGCGCCACAGGCACCCGACCCGACGAGGTTGATAGGGCATGGTCACGACATCATCATCGACGATCTCGATCTGGATCCACCTCCCAAATGGTGGGTGGGCGTCAATTCATGCAACCAATCAGTGTACCCCCTCCAAAGAGGGGGGGATAACTATGCATGTACTGGCCTGACATTTGTGTTACCAGGACGTGTTACGGGACTACCTATCACTGCTCAAACCACGTGTCCGAACGAGCAAATTAGGCCTACAACGGAGTACAAGCTCGGCTGGGCCCAAGTCACTCGCTGAAAGGGATGTCGTATCACCGCGTGACCACCCACAAATTCAGAGCAAAACACGTCACTGGCTATTATTCGTGTGTGTCGTGTTAGATTGATTAGTCCGAGACGCACAATCGATCCAGATCCATGGATAACAAGCAATCACACTAGCACGAGTATCACACCGAGATTGTAGGTTCATCGTGACTATAAGCGCTTCTCTCATGTATAGTTGATGATAAGTCCGTCCAGACCGTCAGACAATGCTTCTCTCATGTATTCAACTCAAACCTATCCAAGTACTGTAAGGATTCTCTATCCCATGGTGCTAGCAGCAGAAACACGGCCTTGTGGAAGGGTTTCAAGGACTGCATCTCCCTCCATTATTTCTTCTCATTGCTCGATTGGTTCCGGTGCTCTTGATTCCTTTTGGCATGATCAGTGGTTAGATGTTGAAGGTTAAGGCCTGTGCTCCCATGTTATATTCGTTTGCTAGAAATCAGTACCGTTCCATCCAATTCCAGTTCTCCCAAGGCGTTTGGGATGTGCAACTGCACCCAAACCTCTCCCAAACGACAGTTGATGAACTTCCGGTCTTGAATCAGCTCATTGCGGCCATGGCTCCCGTCAGCTCACATAAAGATGCACGCACCCCCTCTGTTACCTGTAATAAGGTCAACACAAGCTATTTCTAACGACTGCTCACCTTTCGTGGTGTGAATTGTGCCTTTGAGCTTTGGATCTGGAATTCCTTAATACCTTTGAAGCACAGGGTTTTTCTTTGGTTGGCCTTCTGGGGATGCCTCAATACAAAAGAGAATATGGCCAGGAAAAGCTGGTCGGTGGTTGCCCCAAATGCTGACTGTGATATTTGCCCGACCTCTGAATCTATTGACCATTTGGTTCTGAGTCTATTGACCATTTGGTGCTTCGTTGTCGTACAACCCCTGCTCTTTGGAACAAGGTGTTCCTCACTCCTTTGGCATGTTTATCGCCTGACATCATGTATTTTGTGGAGCATGTTGTTCACCAGCTTGCTTTCAAGCGTAAATGGAACATTACTTTTTTTTTGCTTGCGCCATCACGCCGTGGCATGCACAGAATGATAGTGTTTTCAATTCTAAATGTTGGATGGAGTCTTACATCAGGTCTTATGCCGCGAACATGATCCGTCTTTGGAGCAACATGGCTAGAAAGCAGCAAGACAAGGATGACCTGTAAACTTGGATTCACTTGATTGATGGCTAATTCTTGTATAGGTCTGCTGTAACCTAATTTCCGTTCCCCTTCCTCCTGTTCCTTTTCTTTCCTCCCTAGGCTGCTTGTGGCCTTGCACCTTGGTGCATCTTACAAGCTTCATGTAATTGACACATTGTCTCCAGGCTTTCGCCTGTTTTGAAATACTAGTTGGCCGATTGCGTCAAATGGCGCAGAGATCCGCTAAAGCCATATTTTCAATGAAAATAGTTTCATTTTGCGAGGACATATTCGATATTGATAGTAGAAAGCCCATGTGTTAAGTCATACTATATTGATAATATGTTTACCACGCCGAGAAATCCGAGTTTGAAAAAACAAATCATATTTCTATAACATGCATAGACCAGCTAAGGAAGCATTTTTAGTTGAAAAATATGGTTATCGCGCTGAGAAATCTGAGTTTGAAAAAAAAATCATGTTTGCATAATATGTATGCACCAGTTAAGGATGTATATTTTAGCAGTGTTTGCACTAAACTTTTATTTTCCATGTGCACGAAAAAAACTCTCTGTGTTGTGCATATGGAGGCATAGGTATTTGAAAGGCCCATATGTTACCTAGCCCGGTCCAGGAGCAATTCTTTGTGTGGGCCGTCCGGAGACCTAGCCTGGTCCAGGAACAATTCTTCGTGTGGCCCGTCCGGATTAGAATATGAAGTGGCAATGCCTGCATCCATCGTGCCTATGTATTTCTTTTCTTTCTCGGTTCCTTCTTTGGGCAGGAGAAGCATACTCAACTGGTGATATTTCTCCTTTCCTATTATTTTAGATTTCTAGGCATGCATGGTAACACAAATGGCCCATTACGCCATATAGCACAATGTCCATTTCAAACACGAAGTGTTTTGAAAATTAAATTAAGTTTTAGCACGGAGGAATAGTCCAGACTTGAAACAACGGATGCAACCACTTTATCAAATCAAACTCTTTAGCAACCATTTATGATTATGATGTCAAATGGCACGATGTGTCGATTTAGACTAAGAGTTATTTGAAACGTGTTTCATTTGTTCATTACAAAGTGTTAGATACAATTTCACTACACATAAGAATTTTCAAGCTCAGTTTAGAAGCTATTTTCAAACATACAAACCACAAGTCGGCGATGAATTTTTTTGGTTTAGGTGTGGATGTCAAATGCTCACGATGAAAAAAGAAGGCATGATTTAGTTTCCTTTAGGGGCAGACGATGTATATACACATTTTAGTTTGGTAGGAGAAAGCCCTATTTAAATTAAATCTATGTTTAGTTGGTTTCTAATTTTCCTTAGGAGAAAAAAATGGTGTTTTATTGTTCACAACTGGATGCGTATGCACATTCTTTGGTACTAGAAAGCCCATGTTTAAATCATCTTGTGTAGTAAATATGTTTATCTTTTTAGTAAAAAAAATTGAAAGAAGGATATCTTTTTAGTATTCATTTCTGGGAAATGCACACACTAAGAATTCTGAGTTTTATGTATGAAAAAGAATTTATTTTTACGACATGTATAAACCTGCCAAGGAGGGTTTTTCAGGCGTGTTTCTATTAAAAATTTATTTTGCATGTGGATGAAAAGAAAAACTTCTTGCACATATGGAGGCACGGGTATTTGAAAGGCTCATATGCTACCTAGTGAACACTCCGCGGCTGTGAAACTGATGAGATTCCTCCCTTCCTATTACCTCGGATTTCTCTGCATGCATAGATTTAGTGCACCAAATGACAGAGTCCGATTTGAATCCATACAAATTATAACCCATTTATATGAAAAATTAAGACTCGTCTCTTAAAATTTATACTTGAGGATGCATAATTTGTTATGTTATTTGGGTAATATAAAGGCGTGTTTTTTCAAAGAAAGCCCACGTAAGACAAAGAGTATGCACAAATAGTAACATCAGTTCCTGTACAATGGTGGGAAAGTAGATATTCAATACTGGGGTATGGTAGGTGGAAGAAAATGTCTGAGGATACAACAACAAGAGCTTAGTAAATAACATTTTGCTTCTATCTAATGTATCAGCACACCATGCCCTTTATTTACTCTAGGAATATCTCGTACTCTCTACCTATTTTTCTAAGTGCATGCCCATTGATCCGAGTAAGCCACTTCTTCAATATTGAAGAGAGAAGTTTGAGGTTGTCATGCCCACTGTTGAAATTAGACTGGGCATTATTCTGTAGGGAACTTGGGCCACAAAATATCCTGGATCAATCACAAAACAAACATCAGTATTAAGCAAGGACTATAGTAGAAGTAGCCAGAGATAATAAACAGAATAAAGGGCTATTTTTCTATAAAATATATTTTTTGCTATGAACAAGATTTTTTTTAACTGGAATTAAATGTCAAGGAGTTAGAGAGCATGATATAATAAGTTCAAGAGAATGATTTGATCTTGCTATTCAACTGTTGAATAGATATTGAAGGCACATTATAGAGAGTCCTAGATTTTACATCTATGAAAGTAGGTGCATCGTGAAAGTGATAATTATCCAATTAATAAAACCATTATTCTAAGAAAATATTAGACATTGCCTCATATATACCAACGGGAGTAACTTTCTATTGGTTAGAAACCGTTGTGCTGACAGTTATCTAACACGTGCTTTTTTAAAACGCACTAAGACCATATATAGGATGCAGACCATTCCCATGCCAATGTCTAGAATCGCCAATCTACATAAGTCCTAATAGTATGCTCCTACAGTATCATGCTTACAAAAACCTACATGGGTATGTTCCCAATAGGAATGGATATAGATTATGCTTACAAAAATGCTACACTCTAACACTTCCACCTGCCTTTTTCCTATCTGTTCATTTGGAGAAAAATGGACACATGTTATTTCTGCATTTGACAATTCCATTTAGGTGTAAAAATATGTCTGTGTTTTGTTCCTTTTTGTTTTCTGTATAGTTTTGCACTGACCAGTGATTTGTGATGTCCATGAATACTATTATGGCATTGTTGAACTTTGCCTTTTCCTATCTGTATATTTGGAGAATAAGGCATACATGTTGCCAGAGTGTTGCTTCCCAGGTGAGCTGAGGTGATAACTGAGCCCTCTTATACTATAGAGTAGGTTCAGTATTTTCTTGTATTTTCATGTGCCCAAGGATAGTTTTGTTCGCGTTGTTGTGGCCGTGGTAGCTTACCGAAAAAAGAGAAGACGATGAGCGAGATACGGCGGCAAACATTGTGTC